ATATATATATATAAACCGTTGACATAATGTGAGTTTAAACACTTACATCAAATTGTATTTCTTTAATAATTTTTTGTATAACACAAAGTTAACTAATTCAGTTATTGAATTATGTGATATTATACTCAAAATCATGTATATCAAATTTCATATAATTTTATCTTTTTTAGATATGTTATCAAAAAATGAATATTTACGTATTTTAAGTATCATGTTATACATTAAAATGAAGTCATGTGTTGAACTACAAAATAATTTTAGAATCATGTAAAATTTGATATGCATGATTTTTAGTTTGATATCACATAATTTAATGGTTAGATTAGTTAAATTTATGTTTTACAAAAAATTATTAAAAGTATAAAATTTGATATAAGTATTTACAATTACATCCGGTGTCAACAGAATTTGACATTCTCTTTAACACCAAGTTTAAATCTATAAATTCACACCAAGTCGTAATACTTTCAATAAGTTTTTGTGTAATGTAAATTTAATTAACTTATTCAATTATTAAATTATTTGATAATATACTCAAAATTATGCATATCAAATTTCATATATATATATATATATAATATTTGGTTAACAACATTTGGTTTTTATTATTTATTAACTCGATACAATTTTAATTGACTATATAAAAATATTATTTAATACCATATAGGGACATTTGCATTTAAGCCTTTTTGAATTCATAGTGAAAATATACTTATCAATTTTTAATATATAAAAGACTATTAATTTTTTTAATTAGAGTTTCATCATAACTGAACTTCTTTATTTTTTAACCTCTAACTTTATATATTAAACTCATAACTGTTTTCAACTTTTATATTTTGTTGTTGGTATATACATTATGATGATGACTATTATTAAATTTTATTTTTTTAAAAATTATCCGTAATGACACAGGATTTTAGATTTGTGATTGCCTCACACTCACTATAAATATCTCTCAAAAGCAGTTTGGAGATACAAGTGACTCTTTAATTTGACTCACTGAGTTAATTAAATATTACTTGAGTCTGTCTCTGTGTAGGTAACTCCACCTCGCTGGAGATCGTTGGAGCAACTTAATACCTGTGAACCCGAAAAGAGATCAGAGCGCAGTGAATCAAAATTGTTGGCCCCAACATTATGCTAGCTTTAGTACAAATGTACAATTTGTGGTCGCATGTGGGTCACATTATTCGCAACAAACCAAGTAATTAAAGTAGACACATTTTTTCTTTTACAACTTGTCTTCGGTCATCTTCAGCCCGTTGACTTCTTACATGTAATATCTGTACCTTTGCCTCAGTAAACACACGGAAATTAATTATAAATAATTTAGTAGCTTTTCTTTTCTTTGGCCTTCGTTGACTATACGCAAAATACTACTACTTAAGCTTATCCATACATTCAATTATCAGTGAGAGTCAAATAGGGTATTAAGTGTTGAATTGATCGATTTAGTTGGGAATGTGTTGACCGAGACATGTCCGAATCTTGATCGAGTTGTGAAGATAAGTTCACAAGTTACACATGGTGTTTAATCAGTTAGTCTTTAATTATTAAATAAAACGTGTAATTAAATTTGTAAGTTTGTCTTTAAATAGTAGTTCATACAATGTTTTAGGGGTTAGATATTTTACTTAATCAATCAATAAAATTGTGTTTTTCAATTCTAATTTTGAATTACACGCGTATATAAGTATTTATAGCAAGATGCTAATTAAGAGTAGCAAAGGCCAGCTTAAGAATAACATATACCTACAATATACATATAGGCGCTAATATAGAATCTCATGATACATTAAGAAGCCAAAATGTGTAACTCTAACAATTTAATTCAAGTTATTTTTTCTCTTGTTTTCTTTCATTTGACTTTTATTTCATTTTCATTTTCAGTCGAACATGCACATTGCTTCTTGTGGTCACACCAGGCTGCAAGAGACGTGCATCGAACAACAAATGCGTTGTAATAAACTTATCAATGGACTGAATTCAAGTCACACATTGCTCATCAAATCGCCGTAAACAACAATCAGTTTTCGAAATTGTCATGTGCGTGATGTGAGATATCAATATTAATATTTATTATGATATTGACAACAATTAAGGCTAGCGGAGTCAACTAAAAAGATATGATGGCGATGCTCGAAAGGTCTAGATTTCGACAATTAAAATTGGATCTTCATGAACAAATCATATATAAATATCACAGGAAATTGTTTACTTTTAACATAATATAACACTCATGAAGGTTGACTTAACTAGCTAGTAATGGCAATGGTTTTTCAGTTTTATATATCATTGTCGATAATCTTTCATTGGTAAGCCATATATAAGTATAAATCCCGACTAAAACTTAATCGGTAAGCCTCTTAAGTTTTTGTCTTTTATTTATATATACTTTAGGACCCTTAATTAAGATTTAAACATCTATATTTCAATTCAACATCTGTAATTTAAGAAAAATATTATAATGGAGCACTTATTGATTAATTTCCCTATCTAATTAAGCTTTCACTAAACTAGGTGTACTTTGCATGTATGCTTTGTTGGGTTGGAGAGTATTAAACATAAGAAACATCACAATATAATCCAAAACCTTAAAATATCTAGTAAGTAAATCTTTTTTATTTATATACTACTCAACATTCTCAAATTTAATCGATGTAAAACTTATTTCACATTTAAATTCTAAAATGTTTATATATATATATATATATATATATATATCTATCTTTAGAG